ACCCTATATAACTACTAACTTTACCTTTTACCTAATATTATTTAATAGGTAACTACTATCTAAAAGGCTACTAATAACCTTATAAGAGCTATATAATATACTAAGTTTATAAGGCACTTAAGGTATATAATAGCCTAGATACCTCTACTATTAAGACCTACTATTAGGCAGTAAGGTATAAGTATAGTATAAAAAGGTAAATAGTTAGCCTATACTACTACTATTATTAATAGTAAAGATTATACTATTAATATTAATAGCCTATATAACTTCTATTTTACCTTAGTTAAACCTTACTACACTAAGAGAAAATAGGTAAGCCTACTAATATAAATCCTTAACTTAACTAACCTATAGATACTAACTACACTAGTAAATATAAGAATACTATTATTATTACTATAAGAACTAGAAAACCTATCTAAATAGTAACCTTTCTCCTCTGTAGTGTACCTATAGGTAACTATATAAGACCTTAGTTAATGTACTACTATAGGAAATAGATAAACCCTTTAGTGTCTTCTTCTTAGCTAAAGAAGAGGCTAATCTAGCACTTATATAATAACTATATAACTAAGGCGTTATTACTATACCTAGTAAGCCCTTTAAATAGTTAAAAAAAGCAAAATCTAAGGCCTTATTAACTATAGTGTATTTAAGATTATTATATATAATTCTTTATTTACTAGGGCTATATCTTTAAATTTACCTTATTAATAAAGTTAAAAGTAAAAATAATAAGCTATATAAGAAATTATAACTTATAGTATAAGGTTATAGTAATAATAGTAAAGAAACCTTACTAGTTTAGTTACCTATAATTTAAAGAGCTAGCTAGTGTATAATTCTTATGTTTACTTTTCCTTTATAGCTAATAGTAAGGTAATATAGCTAAGAGATATAACGTAGGCCTATATATAGTTAACTTTATAACTTAACTACACTATTTATATATAACTTCCCTTTTAGATCTATAATTAATACTTTTAAGGCACTATTATAAAGGTAGTAAAGCTATTATATAGCCTTACTAAAGTAGGTACTTATTAGTAGGTAATATATAACTACTACTACTAAGAAAAGCTTAATATAGTTACTACTTTATATAACCTATACTTACTTCTTTTATCTATAAATAACCTTAACTTTATAATAATTAAATATAAATAGATAATATAATTAGCCTAACTAGCGTTAATTTCTTTAACTATAAGGATAATAAGCTTACTAAGGTAAAGCTTTTTATAAAAAAGAAAATTTTACTTATAGAGAATAAACCTTTAGCGTTTAATAAAGGGATTATCTCCTTAACTTTAGCTAAAAACACCTTTATTATACTTTACTAGAAGGGCTAGGGCGTAAAGCTAAGACTTATTAACAAGAAATTACCTATAGCCTAGTAAAACTATATCTAGTAGTATACTTAAGGAGTATATATTACTTTTATCTATTAGCCTAAAGTATACTTTAACTTATTTACTATAGCCTAGTATAAAGAGCTTAATAGTAAAGCTATTTAGTAACTTAACTAGAGAATCTAGTAGTAGATAAATATACTTAACTATAGCTTTACCTTTATTCCTTTTAACCTACCTAATATAAAGCTTTTTATATTTATTAATAGATCTTTTACTAATAATTATAACTTAACTTTATAGTTAGGATTTATTATCCTTTTTACTAATAAAGAGGTTAATAATAAGTAAAGTAAGTTTATCTTCTATAGTAATATCCTCTATTTCTTATTAACTAAATCTAAATAAGTAATATAAAGTGTTCTTATATTAGAAGTCTATAGTATAGTTATAAGTATTAATATAGTATATACTCTCTTTATAACTATTATAATAGTAGTAAATAAGCTTAGTAACTTATTAATCTTTACTATTATCTATACTAACTTATACTTACTATATAAGTACTTAGTAAAGTTAGGTACTATTTACAAGAAGTACTTAATAATTAATATTATAGTACTATAATAATTATATAAGCAACATAAGCTCTTTAAGGTATAATAGATCTATAGTAATAATAACCCTGCTAATAGGTTTATAAAGTCCTCCCTAAACTAAGCACTTAAGAGTCTTATCTCTTATAATAAGGCAAAGATATAGATAAAGGGATAAGTTATATAAATATAATAGGAAATAATAAGAACAATAGGATATAAGATAATAGGCACTTAGAGAAAGAAATAGGTTATATAAACTATATAGATTAATAGTAGTTAAATCTATTTAACGTAGGTATATACCTCTAATAGCTATAGCTAAAGAGAAATATACCTAAATAAGATAGTGTAAGCCTACCTCTGCTAAGTAAATAGATAAATAAATTTATAGTAGTATATAACTATAAAAAGTGTAATACTTTTGCTTTTCTTGTTTTTATTACGTTTTTAGGCTTTTTAGGAAGAATAAGAGCGCTAGCGACTTTTACTATATAAGAAAGTTACTAGTGTTAGTATATAGGTAATATAGCTAGAGGCAGTAGGTTATATAATACACTGCCTACTAGTAAAATACTTTACCTTTGCCTATACGCAAGGGTGCTACTACACTTATGCTTTTACTTTACTTTGTTAACTAGTTAACTATTAATCAACTAATAAATTAACTACCTTTTTTTAACCTTTATAATATTATAAGATATAGGATCCCTATTAATTAACTAGTAAAAACTAACAGAGGCCTTTACTATTACCTATATTATAAAAGGTTTTAAGAAGGTAAGTATATAGCCTATATATAATAATATTATACTTAGCTAACTAGTTAAAAGGATATAATAAAGTAATAAAGATATACTATTATATCTTATTTATTATTTACTATATAATAACTACTTTAATAAAGTAATCTTTACTATTAACTATATAAAAAAGAAATATAGTAGTATATAAAGTAGTCTTTTAAAGAGGAGATTTAAAGTAGTAAAATAAGTAATTTATAAAGGATCTTTTACTTATAAGTACTAGTAGTAATACCTTAAGGACTAAAATACTAGACTAGAAATATAGTAATAGAAAAGCTAGTACTAGTAAGCTATTAAACTATAATACTCCTTTATAACTAGTATTACTATTATAAATATAAAGGAAGTATATAATAAGTAAGTTATAAAGGTAATATAAGTAAAAATATAGTACTAATAGGTAGTAGTAAAAAGGATAGCCTATAAGTAAAAAAAAGAAGTCTAGTAGTAATAAAGTACTACTAAGTATTAAAAGGTAGATAAATAAATAAAGTAACTAACCTTTAAATAGTAGCTAGTTTATATTAAAAAAGATTAACTATATATCTTATTTAACCTTTTAGATCTATAGTAGTATAATAATAATACTAAAGGTAAAAAGAAATTTACTATTAACCTTAACCTAGCTTCTCTACTATAGTATATACTTAACTAATTTAAGTATATAGTAAGACCTCTTAGTTAAGGTAATATTAATTAGGTATTAGCTAATATAACTATAGAGGTAGTAAGGCTAAAATTTAACCTTAAGATCTTTATAGATATTAATAACCTTATTAATAAGGATATTAATTTAGTTATATTAAGTAAAGAATTAGTTAGTATACCTAAGAGTAATAATAATAATAATAGTTATATATTATTACTATTACTATTAATAATACTAATAGCTAGCCTTTTAATATTATAAGGTCTTTTATAATATAAGTTATAATATTATACTATAAAAGATAAAATAAATAGCTAAAAAGCTATAAAGGTTATACTATAAAATTACTTATTTATACCCTTATTAATATAAATAAAAAAGGACTAGTAATATATAGTAGATAATAATAAAAGTAATACCTATATTATAGTAGTAATATAAATTTATAGTTATTATATAAAAAAGGAAAAAAAAGTACTATTATAAAGCCCTTAATTAAGGCTATTAATTAATACTACTCTTATTATTATATAACGCTATAGGTGTTATTGCTTTAAGAAATAAAAAGTTGACTATACTATATAATGTACGCAAAAGTGAGGGTATTTGTAATAGGGGTTGGTAACCCCTTTTTTGGAGTGGCAACCCTATTTTTTCGCCCCCTCCGTGAGGAGGGGGTATTTAGCTCACAGCGCTGACTAAGTTGCCCCCGGGTAGTTATTCTAGTCTTCGATCTAACCTTCTCTTGGCTCTCCACCTTAGCCGGGATAATCAACAATGTGCTACAGCTTTACCCCCTAATGCCACCACCTGGACAAACTAGCTTACGACGTTATATGGGAATTGAGGAAACCAAAAGTCCGAATGACTGCTAACAAAACTGCAGGGTATTATTTCCCTCCAGGCAACAGCTACTATTTCAGTCTCCTGATTCCAGAACACCATTGGCTAAGCCTTGTCTGGCTGACAATCCCACCCAACACCCTACACACATATCAGTCACAGTCACAGTTACACACACACCATGGCTATATCCAAACTACCTGCAATCCTTAAAAGTTCTTTTCGCCCCTCGGCGGGCACCTCATGGACCACCGGAGAGGACGTGAGCGAATTCTACCGCGGCTAGGGCTTCACCATCTACTGCACCGCCTACGGCCCGGCCACCGACGTGCAGTGGCGCACCCTCCTCGACAAGACCCGGGCCCAGGTTATTTCTGAGATAGACTGTTACGTCGAGGTCGGTGCGCGATCTGGCTAGTATTGCGCCTGCTCCGAGGGTCGTAGACGAGATGCCTGTGTATAACGGCGAGCTAACTGGGTCATTGCTGACAAGCAAGATATCAAGCGGCAAATGAGGCGGTGGAAGAGGAGGCCGTTAGGATTCTGGACGGCGGGAGATTTGGGGACGATAAGTATAAATCATGGAATAGACTTAAATGGCTGTTCAAACCATCGGTATGTCTTGTGGCCAGAGAAGTTAAACCCAGAGGTAGGTAATAAACTACACAAAAATGCAAACAGTGCCCCGAGAGCCCTCAGTTGAAGTTGGCCGTATTGACGGAAAAGCTGTTAATCGCTGCCTCCATGACCCTTAGGTCGTGTGGTTGATCAGGAACGTGTTGAAGAAGTCGCGGTACCACTCCCTCCAGAACTCCAGGATCGCGATCCGGTCTCCGGGGTTGGCCTGCAGAGTGCGTGTCAGTCAGCAATCTTCACGATATACATACAGCTCAGGGTTCCGCCATAACCAGTTCCATTCCGTTTACCTGTAGTTCCATTGGGTGCTGACATTGTTGATGACGGTCGTCAGTCGCCCGTTGACGTCGAGAGTTGTCTGGCGGTCCAGGTAGTAGATGACGCCGATGTAGGCCTTGAGCTTCATTAGGACGTAGTTCGACTCGCTATCTCGGACTTGTCTGGAGAAGCTCATGCTCACGGTGCCCGACCGGGCTGTTGCGCCATTTCGAAGCCTGGCCAGTCGTCAATCTCCGTTATATGAAAGACATCCATTGACAAGCTCAGTAAGGGCAGACCTTCCAGATGCAGCATCTGTCATGAACTAGCCAATGAGATTACCGTCACAGGGGCGTTCAACTGCAAACCTCTATCAAAATTCATTCAGACGCAGGAGAAGCCTTGGTGATTGCTGTCTTACTGTTGTAGAACTGTCCATTGTTGCTGCTAAACGGGATCGCTACGTGTGTAAGTCAGAGGTTGCCACAGTCATCCTCACTTTCGAAATCAACCACCTGGTCAAAGAGCGAGTCACTCGGATGCAAACCTCTGAAGTCATAGTACTAGAGAATCAAGATATCCGAAAACGTTGTCGCCGTCGGGCCCGGGTCGTTCAAGGCCCAGCCGCCTATAGCGATGAAGATCTTCAGGTTCAGGTCCTTCTTCTTCAGCACCACCAGCCGCTTGTACAGACCAATGTACGACTCCACTGCCAGCAGTACATTGAACGTCTTGGGGTCGGTGGTGGCGAAAGCAAAGTTGATGTGTGTGTATAGCGGGAGCGGCATCTGCTCCGGATGGAAGACGTTGCACGGCCAGTTCGAGGCCCATCCCTTGAAATACCCAGTCACACGGGCATTGCCTCTGTCCTTGTAGCACGTCTTGGCCGTGACCTTTTTGTCACCGCAAAAGTACTTAGTTGTCTATTGAGAGGTTGGTTGTTGGCCGGTGGCTGAGATTGCCATCTAAGATCTCGATCGGTTGAAGATTGGACAGATGTTTACACCGCAGTAGTTGTGCTTGAAACAGCACACTTTGAGAGGGTATTTATCCCTATGAGCCCATTGAGCTCCGTAGCCCGGATTGCATTCCGCTTTGCGATCACAGTTTGAGATGCAAGCGTCCTTTCCACAGACTCTGCCACCTCTCAAGTTAGCCAGCTGCACGCAAGAACCTGGATCTTCGAGGCATGATATATCGTTGTACACCGGCCGGTGCAACCGGCGAATGGCATCCATCCAAAGAGAGCATTTTAAAGCGCAGTTTATTTCTGATGGTTTTGGTGATGTTCTATGTAGGGTGGATGAAGTTTATTGCGTTCTATATCTAAGCAAGAAGAAGAGGTTGTGGGTAAGCGCTGCGGCCGTCCGGCCAGCGTATTCCGTTTTAAAGGGAAGTGTTAAGAAAGTAAAGGTGGGGTAGATACGATTGAAATAAGAAGCGGGCTGGCATAGAAACCAGATATGCGCCCATCCGCCCCTGGACATTTTTGTGAAATGGTGTTTGTTCCAAATGACAGTGTTCCCCCTAACATCGTCGCCCACGGGCGCAAAAGGGCGTACATATCATATAGTCAAAAGGAAAGGCCAAAACATACAACACCAGGTATTCGCTGGTCGTCACCGACCCAACTACTAATCCGGCCCTTATGAAGTCTTTGCTGTGAGAGCCTGGACTTCCTATTTTGGAGATCTTGCACTTCTATCATCGGAAGACAAGGCTCCCTTCGCAGCCCAACTTTACGGCATAAGGTAAGTTCTTATTAAAACATGATTATACTATTTTTACTGTTCTAAACTCTACTGACTACAGCAGATAGCGCTTAGATATGCGTACTCCCCTATTACTGCCTTGGTTGATTTCCTATATCTCCCCTACTTCTAAAAAGAAGAGAGTTAGTAACAGACTTCAGTTTTTTAATTTTATATTATTCTCTATCTTTTGCCCCTTAACACTTATAATTTCCCTCCTATAGTGTTTGTTATCTTAGTATTAATGATGGTATTAATAGTTCTTTACTCTAAAGAGTCTAGTAAAGCACTTATAAGGTGAGCCTTGTGAAATGCCTTTATTCTTTAATTTAAGTAGAAAGAATGGTAGGTGACACGTTCTATTATTATAATCTTAGGTAGAAAAGAGTAAGTTAATAAGCAGGTAGGCTATATAGGAGTTTATTAACAAGGGATTTTAGGCGTTCCTATCTGTTGGTGGTGAGGGGCCTGAAATGTCCAACAGGGGTTGCAGGGCATAACGTGGTTCAGTTAATCTTAAATTCAGTTTCTAATATAAGTTAACGTTGTAAGCGCCGTTCTTGCTTTTTATTGACCTGGCAGCGCCGAAAGATGGCTCAGCTGGCCAGTTTGTTCCCAACTAGCCCCTTGCTAGCTGCCCATTGGCCCATTATGCCCTTCCTGCTGGCTTCCTGTTAGCCTCAATCTATTATGTGTTTACTAGTATCTTGTTTACATATTAACTCCACTTGTTGTTAGGCTTGTTGGTTGAATGTGTTGGTTGTATATTTTCGGTTAAATGTGGTCTGGGTTTTATTTTGTTTTACCTTGGAAGTGCTAACTAGTGGCTAGGCTGATAGGAATGCTACTTATCCTGCCATGGTGGATAAGATATTTACTTGTTGTGATGTATGGCCTCCTGTTGATTATCTGCTGATCGTTTTCAACCCCCTTTATGGCTTTATCTTGGTTACTTGTTGATGTATTGTTGGTAATGGCTAGAGTCTTTCTGGTTGTAGCTTTCTGTTGGCCTCCTACTGGTGGTGATGCATGACGTTAGTCCAGTTTGGCGGGCGTCTTTATTGTTACGACCTAACAAGCTACAGGTGATGTAGCCCTACTAGGCAAGGTAAAGGCAGAAAACGGGCGGTACAGTAATTCTATTGGTTTGTTTGTTCGTTTGATTGATACACGGTTATGAAGTTGTTTTTATGTTAGTAACTAAGCCCGGATAGCGGGGTCCGGCAGATAGCCGAAGTGTTCAAGCATTACCGTATCCTCTCAGCAAATGTGAAATCCGCACGGGCCACGGGCTGCTGGAAAGGGGTAAGCGGGCTGGCAGAAACAGGGATCTAGATGTGGCAAATACAGGAATTCATTTACGTCAGCAGCAGGTAGGTGGCAAGGGTTAGGGTTATATGGGTGGGTGTGTGTGTAGGTAGGTTGACCGCCTGTTATAATGGGACTAGCGTGTGGCCCGTGCGGATTTCACATCTGCTGAGAGGATACGGTAGTCCGAGCCGCCCTACTTCAATAAAAACTGTTAGGCCGTACGTACACAACCCGCTCCGCATACATAAGAGCCGACAAGTACCTAATTAATCTAGACCTACTGCCTAGATCTACTATAATAACACGTATATCTATAAGTCTAAACAGGCAGTCTAGAACGTAGATAGTTAAGCCGTTTTCCTATGACTTTCTGTGACCAAATAAGTGCATTATGACAGTTTACCTATAACTATAGGTATTAGGTCCTAAGCATTTGAAAAGTACAGTTAAGTACTTATAAATTACTAGGCAGACTAAAAGCTAAGAACCAGTACCTCTCTCCTCACAATCCACCAGACTATTTATCTTCTAAGGAAGTACCTACTAGTAGGGTTTCTATTTGTCTCTAAAAGACGTTCTTCTTCTAATCTCTTTTCGCGTTATATTATCAGATAGCTAGCTGCTTGTAGCTAGATTGTTTTAGCCCAAAAGCGCCCAGGAAAGAGGTTAACTAGATCAAAAAAGAAGGAGGCCATCGACAATAGTTTCACAAGAGCAAGACCAGTGCTGTAGATAATCCGAGACACTGACAGCGCTGCGCAGTTGCTAACGGATTAGATAGGGACATAAGTGTGGGGCAGGTTATGTAGATTGACAAGCTGGCCTCATGAGTGCACGCTGATATCAGCAGCCCGATGTCGAAATAATGCACCTCCCGCAGCGAAGCCTGTAGCGTAGGTATATCTGTTGGCGGAGGCACCGGCAACTACTCGTGTCCTTGAGCCTCCCGGTCTGCCCGGTTCTCTTGCTCCTGATACTCGTCCAGCCTGTCCATGCACCTCTCTCTATCGTACCGCTCCGTGAAGACGCCCTCTTCCCGGTATATCTGCGCTTCAGGTACATCCGGACTGGTGCAGTGTACGTGTTTTCTATCCACAGCAATCTAGGTTGTAATTATAAATTAGCATAGAGAAACTACTGAGTTTATACGCCGCCGGAGCGCAGAGGTAGATGCTACTAACCATTTCGAATTTTCTAAACATTTCTTTTGCTATTGAGAAGAACTCGCGAAAGGTATAAGTCTGGAGCCTACGCCAAGCTTCTTCATCTGGTGCTTCCTGTCACCCACGATATTGGCAGCTTATTCATACACAGCAGACAGACTGTTCATAGGGATAATGGTGTCTGTGAGGAGTGATGTGCGTTACTGAGGACTTACTGGGTTGGATAATCGAGTGGGCTTCGGACCAGTCTGTGGGTCTGCGACGACAATTGTGCCGCGCTCTGTATCAATAAAAATGTAACGACCATTATGACCGGATGGAATCGTTGCATAAAAAAACACATGGGGCGGTATATCAGAGATACTGCCCTCATAAGGCTCAAAAAGAGACTCATTTGCATACTTGCTAGGTAAGTTTAGGACAATCTCACTAGTGAAGTCTACAGGAGTAGCGTTCCCGTAAATCTGCCACGGGTCCCAGTCGTCCTCCTTTGTGCGGCGGATGTAAGGGATATGCTTCATCAGGTCTGCTACGGTGTTGTTCTTGCCTAGACAGAAGGACTTGACGAAGTCGGGTGTGATGTGCTCCCAGCCGCCCTCCGGGGGGTGTTGGATGACTTCTGGGGGCAGATAGATCTGAGTCAAGAATTCGTAGTAGGACGTGAGCTCCGATACGAGCTCGTCCCTAGAGTAGGAGGGCTGCGCCATGTTTGGAGCCGGGCGGAAGGGCGGGAAAGATGTTGTAGGTGCAAAGAATGAATTAACGCCCAAGTAGGGAGGGTTTTGAACTTATCTAAGGTGATGGAGAAAAGGCGAACAAGGGTACTAGAATTATCATACGAGGCCTAGGAAGACTGAAACACTCTGTTGGAGCACATAACATCTCAGCGACTCAGCAGGCTCAATTACTTAGCGTACCAATGCAAGAATTCATTAGTTGCCAATCTCGGCAACGTTAGACTTACCCGCAACGGGGCCGCCTCCAGTGCCAAACCTCTTCGGGCTAAGAGATACCTTGGCATGAGTCTCGCAACGAGGACGCCTTTCGCCTTTCTATTTCCAGTGGGTGTTGGTTATGTGATAGAATCAGCCCGTCAATTTACTAGTAACCTAGTCCTAGCTCTGTAAGACTTATTGGGATAGCATTAGGCCTACAAGCCTGTGGTGATCCCATCCACTCTTTAGTACATAACTACGAATAAGACACTCTTCTCTGCTCACTCATAGATGCATATTCCGCTGGCCACCCTGACTAACCATCATTCTGTTGGTTCTGTTGCTGTTGGTTCATTAAGCCTTGGCCGGCCTCCCTCCTGTAAATGTTGTTGTTGTGGTTGGTTACAACAATCCCATCCCTCTCTCCAGGTCGTACCATGTCGGATATTGCCCGAAGAGTATTGCCCCACAGATGAGGTGATGAACTTTGTGTTGGTAGCGCTGCCAGTACAACCAAGGCTGCGTGAAACAGGGCCAGGTAAATTAAGCTTGTTGGTTCTTCAGTCGTCAACTGCAAGGGACACTACTTAATAACCAATTTTGTCTCTAGGCCCCAACGTCTCGGTCTCTTAGCATGGAGCTTTGCTGAAAATCCCGCGAAGCAACCTGCTCTCTCGCCACCAAGATCCGGTGCTTTAATTAAGCTTCTCGTTTGCCCTGTCAACAAAGCAAAGCATCACCTTTAATAGCTTAGCAAAGGCCGCGATAGCCGCATTCCGATTCTGCCTAAGGTCCGCAACGCTGCTTGAATACTACCTGCACTCTGTAGACACCTTGTGCGGCTGTCAGTCGAGAGTCATGCCACTCAAAATTCGTTACCGCTGCATGTTTTCCGATATCATCATCATGTAGTTGTTTTTTCTGACTTCCCAGGGGCCGTCTCAATCCATTACTCCTTCTAGCTTAGCGAGACAATATCAGCTTTTTAACCCCTGATTCAGGGACTTGCAGATGAAATTAGCACGATGAACCAACAGCCATGCTTCAAAGGTTCTCCGCTAGCTACATGTGCTGCTTGCCGCCAAGGAAAAGGTTGGAACGGCGGCCGATGCGGCACAGCAGTTCTCAAATCCACATCAGCCCCTACTAGTCTCTTTGGACTTGTTGAACTTCCTAATCCAGCTTAATAGTCTTCACAGTAAACCCTTGAGCAAAAGAGCATTGTGGATTTCCGGTGGTAAAAGTCTTGTCGTATTGGTTTCATTGCGATAAAATTCCCAGAGGCCATGTCGACACGCCTCGGATTCTACTTGCGGGAAGCCCATATCAAATAAGGCAAACTAGAAGGATTAAAAATGGCTCCTCGTCCCAGCCCTCGATGTAATTCCTAGCGACTCCCCAAGCCTCATGAATAGCCTTATCATTTCTTTCAGACGCTTTGGTGACTACACCGTTCGCTCGTTCGACCATTGGCTGCGTTCCTTTCCATCTTTTATGGAACACATTGACACACACTCTCTTGGACATCAAATTCCTCAATCCTATCTGAAAGACTTGGCCACAGAATCTAGGAAGATGACTGCCATTTTCTTCGCCCTATGGACTCTTCCGTTTTGTATTATGCAAGTGGATGCAAAGGCTGTCTTTGCTCATTTCATGGTGAGATCATCAGTTCAGATACTAAAAGCCAATTACTCATCATCACGGGTTGGGAACACTGAGAACTATGCGATGAAAGACTTTGAATACGATGTCTCGCTGGCTCAACAAGCGCATATTGATGGGTTTGCCCTCAACATAGCCTATAGAGAGGCCACCAACGCAGGAAGCGTCAACATGATGTTTAATGCAGCCCAGACGGCCAGGTTCAAGCTCATCTTATTTGACTACGCCGACTGGGGTCCCTGGCCTTAGCAAAATGTCATTAATATATTAAACGTCTACTTAGATAGCCTGGCCTACTTTTAACATTCAACTGGTCAGCCCTTAGTTTCTACCTTTAAAGGCCCTAGACAGTCTAAGGACTAGGTCTATATAAAAGAGCAAACTAATGCCTTCTTTATACCCTCCTGGTCTTCACTTAGCGCCAAGCGCACAATAAAGAAGAATATTACTAACAGACTCTTTACCTAGGGCACCTAGCCTAAAGGACCTAACGACATTAGCAAGGAGATTAACGCTTCCTACGTTAACTTTTTAGGGAAAGACGCTAGTAGTAACAAGAGGCCTTATATAATGCTTGTCTTGCCCTGGTTCTATACTAACCTCCTAGGCTATAAGAAGAATTAGCTTTAGCGTAGTAATAGCCTCTAGTTTTACTACTAAAGCTATATCTAGTATATATAACCTAAGTATATCTGTTATGGCGCTGGCAGGAAGGTCCTGGAGCAGCAGCTGTGTGCACCTGCCTACTTAAGTGTGGTTGTTCTAAGACCTTCTAGTCTTAGAATTCTGTATCCTTTTGCGTAGATGCCACAGTGGAATGCGCAAAGCCAAGGACACGTCAGCAGTGTGACTACCACTGGAGTAGCCTGGCTGCTAGCATGTGACAAATTTAGATTATAAATATATTAGTTAAAAGTCTATAAATTTAAGGTAATAACTATAGTAAATTTACTATTAGTTATATAATTAATATATACCTAATTAACTAGGGATATTATTATAATTAACTACTGTATCTATGTACTTTAACAGCGATAGCTTCTGAGTGGTACCTTGGTCGTTGTTTATATACCACTTTGATTTTGGCCAGTTCCTGCATCCTAGTTAGGCACCGGCTGTGCCACGCTTCGTGTTCGCCGTGGCATGCGGCGCACTTCCGGGGTGTAGCCGTGTTACTTTTCGAGGGGCACTCTTGGGTTATATGTTCTTGCGCACAGTAGCCATATGTTATTGTTGCCTTGCACTAGGTTCCTATATGGCTGTATGCGTGGCATCTGAAGCATTATCTTAGATGGCACTGTCTATTGTATTGTTTGCATTAGAAAACCTTACTTCACTAGATGAGTCCTTTATTAATAAGTTTATTAGCATCCTCTACCTTATCAAACTTAATAATAATAGATAAGATAGACTTTATAGTAGAGGATCTAGTTAACTATTTAATGTATTTAATCTCTGCAGTGGGGATAAAGGCTTTATTATCCTGCAGTAGTTCATCTCAGAGTTCCATAAAGAGTTCCATATCTATTAAACTAGTTTGTATACCATATACTAGAATTCCATAGGTTAGGATCCACACCATAGCACTATTGCCTATTCAGTGTTCCCAGTCCTCCGCGAACTGTTATATCTGAGGTAGTGGCTGTTTTGATACTCAGGTCGCCACTTTTCAGTTAATTCGCAGACACAGTCTTTAGTTTACAGATGTGCTCATTACTGCTCTGTTCAATGGCGCAGTCTATGTGCACCTTGAGGTTACAGGTGTTCATGGCTCTAATACTAGCAATAGTGATAAGATCTCTAATGTTTATAATGACCTCACGTAGGATTTAAATTTAGAACGGTCTTTAGTTCTGTAAGTTATGCATGCTTACTATAAGTCCTCCTCTGGTGGCTACACTGGCATAAGACTGTGCGGCGCTCCCCTGATTCATCGGCCCTAGTGCTTGTATATCCCTCACCATCTTAACAATCAGCTCACTAGCTTTCAGTGCCTCCTTAGCGGCTGTGTTAGTGTCCTTGTTAGTGTTAGTATTCTCCTTGATTTCAGCTGTGTTTTACTGGATTACGATTCTAATACTACTCGTGGTTCAGGTAGTATTCTCATCCTTTTACTATAATAAAGGGGCCTTAACCTAACCCTACTTGTTAATTATTAAGCTAACTCTAAGGTTTAGGTAAAACAGGCACCTATATTATCGGTATTTTTATCCCTAACTCTTAGTTTAACGTTCCCGTTAGTTCGGCATTCCCGTTAGTTCGGCATTCCCGTTAGTTCGGCGTTCCCATTAGTTCGGCGTTCCCGTCAATTCAGCATTCCTATTAATTTAGCGTTCCTAATACTATAGTATTAATAGTAAGTTTAAGCTCCCTAATAGGTAGCATTGCGCTATAACCCATAGCCTTCACAACTCTTAAGGCTAGATTTATACTACAAGTACATAATAATTTTAAAGTACTCCTTACTAAGGTAATTAGAGAAGCATAGTATCACAAGCAGGTCAAGGTAACTAACTGCGCCACAAAGCAAAATCTTCAATAATAATGCACCTACATCATTTTCTCTTGTTCTGCATTATATAGCTACACACCAGTTAGACGCCTACCACTGTAAGCGACCGGGTCTTAATACATGGCTACATGTAACAGGCTAGGCCTGTATCAGGCCTTGCTGGATATCGCGGCCATAAGCCACCCCTGATGAGGCCCACCGTGGAACCCATGATGCCGACGATCCAATGGCCAGTGCGGCATGTCCCTGATTAGACCAGTGGTAAGGCAGAGATGGAATGTTTTTCCCTTCTGATCCTTATCTGAGGATACTCGTACGTAGTCACCATAGCTGGTTGTAATACACCTCGCCTTAGACCGTTACATTACATCTACTCAGCAGGGGGGTTTTACTTTTGCCTGCTACTAAAGTAGTTTAGTATTCTTAAGCCTATATAGTAGGCTCCTATGGTCTCCTGTGTTATACTTAATAGTGTGCATCTACAGAGCCTAAATTACTACTTTAAATATTTAGTATATAATTTAAAACTAAACTCTTTTTAAATCACTTGAATATAATACTAATTGAAGGATTTTTAAGCCTCAACCTGATTTAAAAACTATATAAAAGAATTAAAACTGCTCTCTCTTCTTCCAAGTAGACTATCACTAATTCCTTACCATATTAACTTACACTACACTTTTGTCCTTAAAATGAAGCTTGTTACTATACTTTCTATTTTCATTAGCACTACAATGGCTACTCGTCGTGTTTGCCGGTATGTTGTCTCTAACTCTCTTGCATTATAAGGTTTAGGTAAATAACATGCTATTAGATGCACGTACAATAGTGAATATAGCTACGACGACACCGAAGCTACCTGCGCTCAAGTTGGAGGGACCATGGCGTCAAAGTATTGCGTAACTAATCATGCACAGCAGGACTGGAGCAAGGTAAGTTAGATTACCTTTTACATAATTACATACTAACATGCGTATAAAGAGGTGTGTAGATCAAGGGAACTGCTGGAAGACATCAGGGTAAATAGGAGTTTTGTTGGTATGTTTGGTAGCTGGATGATGTACAGAGGAAAGTAGGGATAGAGCGGCCTGGCTGGGCCGATTAGATCATGCAGATCCAGCTATATTAATGGCCTTCTTCAGCTGTTGCCTCTTAGTTACGGCCAGATATCCTTTAGCGGTGTTATCCGCTGGGGATACTAAGGCTTAATAACTAACAAAGGGGTCTTAGGTCTTGTTAGGAATCTTGCTAATTAAGATACATAGTAATTAATTTTGTAACTTATAAGACACCCCTATGTCACAAGGTGACCAGGACTATAGGCCATAATAGCTGTGCTAGGTGTAGCTGATAAGCTATAGAGACCACTAGGGCTAGGCATAGACCACTAGAGGTCATATAACTAGGAAAGGGTTTATAGAAGGATTTAAAGGCAAAGCTACTAAAGAAGGCCCTACTATAGTTTTCTTTTCCTCTTTATCTTAGAATCTTTATTCTAGGTAATATAGTTATAAGTTATTTAACTTTAGTTATTACTACTATAATACTATTTTAAGATTTTTTTTTTACTTTTTAAAAATAAAAAATAATATTTTCTTTATACTATTAAGCCTTAACTAATAAGTACCTTTAAATATTATTTATAATACTATTATAAAAGTAATAACTAAGGTTAAATAACTTATAACTATATTACTTAGAATAATAATTCTAAGATAAAGAAGAAAAAAAAACTATAGTAAGACCTTTTTTATAGCCTTGCCTTTAAATTCTTCTATAAACCTTTTCTTAGTTATATAACCTCTAGTAGTCTATACTTAGCCTTAGTAGTCTCTATAGCTTATTAGCTACACCTAGTATAGCTATTATAGCCTATAGTCCTAGTTACCTTATAATATTACTTTTTTTTTACTAGTAATATTATTTATAATATTAGAACTTACTAACTAGCCTTAAAAATAACCTTTTTTTTATAAGTTAATTTTTTAATTTTTTTATATAAATCTTTTTTTTAAGAAATATTTTTTTAAAATAAACGCTAGTAAAGTAAAGTTAAGACTTAAAAAGTATTAGTTAACTTATAAAGTAATAATAAGTTAATAGTTTATTAAGTAGCTTTATTATTATTAAAATAAAAAAGTACTTTAGTGTTTTTTACTATAGCTTATAACTATTAAAATAGGTTAACTAAAGGTCTAGTAGCTATTAAGTAATCTTTATAAAATCTTTATAGTACTACTAGTAAATAATAAAAGCCTTTAGTATTATACTAAGTTAAATCTTTATTATAACTTAACTAATTAACCTAGTACTAAAGTCTTTTATAGTTTATCTTAGACTTTAGTACTTATAATACTTTATACTTAGGTTTATTACTAAAGTTAAATATTATAAGGAGAAGTAGTTCTTATTATTATCTAAAGAAAAAGTTAATAAGGGCTTTTTTAAGCTTACTTAGGTAAAATACTAAATAGGCCTTAATACCTTTAAGTAATTAAACTTTCTAGGTTTTTTTTAATTTAGTTACTATAATAGGCTAAAGACTTACTTATAGGTTCTAAAGCTTATTAAAGTTATTATATTTCTAGTAGTTTATATTAATAAAAACTTTATTATTAACTTAAAGCTTATTAGGTTACTTATACTAGTTAGTATAATAATAGTACTATTCTTAAGTAATTTTTATATTCTTTTTAGCTATTTACTAATACTTATAGATCTTCTAGGCCTAGTACTAAGTATCTATTTTATTAAGCTTTTCTTTAGTACTATTATACTTCTAGGTATAGTTATCTTAATTAAAACTTAACCTTAGAGGTCTTTTAAATTTAACTTTATAAAAAAATAAACTAGTAGTCTTATTAAAGAAGACTATATAAGTAAAGTCTACTACTAGAACTATATTACTTTAGTTATTTTAGTAGTAATTAATAAAAAAGTAAAGTTATTATATAATATATTAGTTTAAGACCTTAGTTTATTTATTAGTCTAAAAATAGTCTATAGTAAATAGCTTTATTTTAATACTATAGATATAGTAAAGCTTATTTTAAAAGTCTAATATAAACTAGAGGCCTTAGTCTAAAGTAATAGTTTTAAGTAAACTAAAAATTAAAAAGACTTTTTTATAAAATATTTATACTATATTTTTTATAGTAATTATCTTAAAGTAAAAAATAAATATAGCTTATTTACTTAAGTAGTTAACTATTACTTAAAGGTTATTATAGCCTTTTTTATTTTTTAAATAAAATATAAAGTTAGTAATAATATACTACTAAAGGTAATATAAGATAAGTAAAAAATAAAGTTCTTTAAGGGGTTTATTTTATAGCTTTTAGCTATAGTAGTATATATAGTAGTTCTAAATATATCTTTTTATATTAGCTAAAAAACTAAGCTAGTAATAGTATTCCTTAAGGATTTTTATTATTTATTATAGCTAAAGTAAGTAAATAGTTTTTAGTTATAGGCCTCTTAAATTATATAAGTATATAGGTTTTTTTTAAAAGTACTACTAATTTATAATTTATTATTAATAAGTTATTCTAGAGTTTTTAGTATTTTTACTTTTTTACTTATAAGCTTATAAAAGGCTTTTAGTAATAAGATAATAAGGTTATAGTTTAACTAAAGAATTTATTTTACTAGTAAATATTTTTAAAAGTTATTTTCTAAGGTTAAAGTATTAACTATAATCTTTACTAAGGTAGTTCTTATAGGTATTAGTACTATATTTTATAGTAGCTACTTTAGCTCTTTAGTAATCTTAAAGAAAAATAATATAAGTAAAAGTAATACTTAGGTATAGCTTACTTCTTTTAGTAACTTTTAGGTTACTAAATCTTTTTTTTTAATAAAGTATTTACTAGTATATTTTTTTTTAAGTAATACTAAATAATAAAATTAAAGTCTACTATAGTTTTAGCCTAGTAAGCTTAGTAACTATTTAGTAACTTCTTTATTATAAAGTATAAAAGTAGTTAGTAGTTAATAATAACTTTAAATCTTTAGTAATAGCTTACTAGCTCTAAGTACTATTCTTTAAGAACTAAAATTACTACTAGTAGTTCTTTATTATAAATTATATAGTTAACCTTAGCTTTTATTATTATCTTTAAATAAAAGGCTATAAGATACTAAGTCTTATTTTTTTAGTACTAAAGTATTACTTTAGTATAAATAAAGTCTAAGGTATTTATCTTTAAATAAGTAAGTAGCTTTAGTTAAAAATATTAAAGTATAAAGGTATTAGTTAAAGTATACTTTAGGAATTTAAAAGCTTTCTTATAATCTATAGTTTATTAGTAAATATAGTCTTTAGTAGTTAGGTAGTTAAAGAGGTATATAACTTATTTATAGTTAATTATAAACCTTTAGTAAAAGTTATAAAATCCTAGAAAAAATTATACTCTTTTTACTATAGTAAGTACTTTTTAGTTTTTTACTATAGTAATCTTTTTAAGGTTAAGTTAAATACTATTAGTACTTAGTATAAATCCTAAGTATTTAGTAGTTATTATTTTAAATTTATACTTCTTAATATTAGCCTATAGACTAGCTTCTTAAAGTTAACTAAGTACTTTTTTAATATACTCTTAGTATTTAAGGAGGTCTTTAGAGAAGATTAAAATATTATTAAGGTATATAATATAAAAATTATCTAGGTATTTTATAAGAATATTATTTATATAGTATTAGTAAGTAGCTAGTTTATTATAAAGTCTAAAAGGTAATACTTTATACTTATAAGCTTTATAATAGGTATAAAAGGTTATTAAGTCCTTAAAGTTAAAGTATACGTTAATTTTATAGAACACTTATTAAATATTTAGCTTAATAAAGATTTTTATTTTACTTATTTAGTTTAAAGTCTTATTAATAAGTAATAAAAAGTATTAGTTTTTTTAGTAATATTATTTAGTTTTTAAAAATTAATATTAAATTAAAGACTTTTATTAGCTTTATATATAAATAATATAAGAGAGGCCTAAGAAGTATTCCTAAAGGATATAAAACCCTTCTAGAGATTCTCTAGTAGGTATTTCTAGGTAGCCTATAGTTCTACTAGTAACTACTTATATAAAGGGTAGTAAGTAAGCTTATTTTTTTTATATTCTTTAAGTTTAATTTTATAGTTATAAGAATAATAAAAAGAAAGTTAGTTACTAGTAGTTTTACTAAATATATCTTAGTAAGTAGCTAGCTTAAGAGGTAATTTAGTATTAACTAAGTCTTTTATAACTTACTTATTCTAGTCTAATAAGTCTTATTTATTTCTTTTAGATTCTTTTTTTATATTAATTATCTTATTTAGCTTATAAAGAAAAATAAAGCCTAATTTAATATTTTTTTTAAAGGTTTATATTAAAAGTAATAGTATTCATAAATATAAAGTAGTTATATTTCTAAAGTATAACTAATTATATTAAGTGTCCTTTTTTTTAATAAAGTCTTAGTTACTAAAGGTCTTAGTCTTAAAGTGCTTATTTTATTTTATAAAGGCTATTAGTTATATTTTACTTATAAAAGTATTAAAGGATTAACCTAGGCTACTAAGGTAATTACCTAGCTTTTATTTTTTACTAGTATTATTAGTAATTAACTTTAAAAATAGCTTACTATCTTTTAGTATTAATCTAGTACTAAATATTAATTTTATTAAAAGTATAAAGGTCTTTTATATCTTATATAATAGTAGGTAGTAATAATACTTAAGGGGTATTAAGAGGCTAAAAAAGATATTAGTTTTTTATATTAAGGTTTACTTTATAGTAAGTAAACTACTAATATCTTAAGATTATATTATAGTAGCCTATATTAAGCTATAATAAGGAAGTTTATATTAAGTAATATTAGTTAATATATATATTAGCTTTTTATATTACTTAAATATTATTTAATTATTTACTATTAAATCTTATAGTAAAGATAAGCTTAGGTAGTAGGCTATAAAGAGTATTATAGAATTTTTTAAGTAAAGTAGTTACTTAAGGGTATATAAAGAAGTAACCTTTTACTCCTATATTAAGAAAAGTATATAGTTAAATTCTATATTTATTAAAAGCTATTATAAGTTTAGTCTTAAGAGGTCTTTTTCTTATAAGGTCTTATAAGTTTATTAATATAATAAATAGTCTATAGTCTTCTTATATACTATACT